TCCATGGATTGATGTTTAGTATTGCTTTTGAGTTTAAAAGCTGCTTTTAGAAACCTAATCACAATACCAAACCAAGCCGAAGAATTGATCTGTGAGAAGAATGCTTAAGGTTGAATGGAGGAATTGAACAAAAAGGTTCTAAAGCTAAATCTTGTGGGCACGGTCTGGTCACCTCTGCTCTTCCTCTGCTAATATGAACAACATGATGATACTTTAAAAAAAAAAAAAGAACAAACTTCTAGTCTGATACTCTGATTGTGGGGCAAAGAACACCAAAAAAAGTATTCAAAAACCTCTTTGACCCGACTTTAATCTTCAAACGTGCTCGGACCAGTTTGTGTAAATTTGAAATGCTTTGGCACTTCCAAGGACCTATTATATTCTATAGTATTTGGATTTTCTAGATAAGAAATATCCCATAAGGTGACTACAACTAAAACACACATGATGATCAGCTAAATACATAATTTCTGTGGTTATTTGTTGGTATTCATTTGTAGATATTCACTATTGCAGTAAACTTTGGAATTGCAGGCAGAAGCAGAGAGGTATGGAAGTCGAACGATTTCTGGAGGTGGGGCAAATTAGTTCTGCAGATGAGGAAGATGGCCAGTTTTGTTACTAGGCACATTTCTCAGCATGATCTCGTTATCACATAAAATAAATGTTGAATTTAAATGCTAGGGTCATGCCACATTCTAAAAGAAACTTGTGATTTTGATCACGAGCTGAAGATGTTAAGAGTCCCGTCAGAAAGAATAAAGAGGTTTAAGGCTTATACTGAAGAAAGGCTTAAAATAAAACTTTGGCCTGGTGCCTAACGGGTGACCAATCTTTTCAATATCACATTTCCTATTGATGACTAATATCCAAATTACTGAATTGATTATAATAAAATCTTTTTTATTGCTTCTGTTAATCATAAGATGTTTGTGTCAAAGTGGCCCAAGAATCACCAACTAGCAAGAAAGCGTCACAAACAAATACACTATTCTGGAACCGATGTTTGCTTTGTGGAGAAAATGATAGTCATGCTCTTGTATATTTTGAAAACAAAATACTGAATCTAAAGCTTTACTCGATTATGAACCAAATAAAAAGACACTTACCACAGGAACCCTGGTCCTTGATGCTAGTTACAATTCCATAGTTCCTCCAATCCAAGGATGATGGTGCATCACAAGACTGCACCTTTCTCCTCATGTTCCTTGATAGAGTGCTCCCTTTGTTGATGGGCTTTTTCACCTTTGACAAGTAAGCTTTTCTAAACTCCTCATTGCTCATATCAGCAAACTTGTTCAATCCCACACGATGTTCCCCCTTGGTTGGTTTTTTCTTTGCATTCCTCTCTAGTATATACTTCAAATTCCTCTTAAAATTTTCAAACCTTTTTTCAGCCTCCTCAACACGATGGTATACTTTCCGATGCTTTTCTTTCCATTGTTGAAAGATCTCCAATATCTGTTCCTCCGAAAGAAATGCGTCAGGGTCATGTTCCACTATGGAGTATTCACTAGGAAGGCTAGAAGATGGGCATGTTAGTGAAGCCAAGATGAAGAAAAGGAAAGCCAATAAGCTTCTCTGGAAACCCATTTTCTCAACTGGGTTGCCAATGATGTCTGATCTAAATCTACATTGTATTGTATATAAGGCGGAATTACTTGCTAACTAAGCCACGCCTACCAGTCAGCTCAAGAACATTTCTGTTTCAAAATGAAAAAAAAACTTTTTCCCCATTTCTTTTTTCTGCCCTTCCATATTACAATGTTACTTATATCATTTAAAAGCAAAGAGACCAAAAGAACATTGGACTTGACCAAAAGAACATTGGACATTGGAAAAAATTGAGGGCATTTTGTGAATTGTGTTGAATAACACCAAATCATTTTGGTGGCTGTGCCCGTCTGCTGTTCAGATTGTTGTTGCTTTTGACTTGTGAGTAAGGATAGTAGCTGGAGTTAAATCTAACGGTCAACCTTTTACTTAATTGGCAGTTAGCATGTTATATAACTACACACACACACATATATATATATATATATATGAATATATTATTTCTATAGCGTACAATTGACAGTTAGCTTTTCTCAGAAATGAAAAAACAGGACTGACGGACATATAGAAGACTATGATTAAGTTTGGAAAACCAGTAAATGAATTAAGATCAGATCGTGCAGAATTCGTAAGGTTAGAGTATATGAGAGGTTGAAAGAGGTACTTTTCAAGGTAGAGTTGAGACCTTTAAAGGTTAAATCTGTATACCTTACTTTTATGAAAATGTTGATTTTAAAATTGGATGAACAACTTGCAACTATTTTAATCTGACTCCTATCACATTAATACCTGAGACATAAGTGATTGAACAACTCCAACTATAGGTCAAGCCAATTTTGATAACAATCATGTGGTAGATTTGGTTGACTAAATATCTCCATGGCAGTCTTTGGTTTACTTTAATGGGGACAAATTACCAGGAAAATCGGCAATAGTCCCTTGAATAAGCAACTACTCAAAGGTAGTCACTTTAGATTCGTGCCAATCGTTAAATTTAGAAGCAATAGGCACTTTTCATCTACCATAGCAGCACAACACACATATCAGAGAGCATATCACATTGCTTGGATTGAGGTATACAAATTTCATCCTAGGTATGGAAAGAAATAGATTTCGTGGCAACTTTCATTAAACCAGTCATCAAAATCATTTTACCCTGGTCATTTTCTGCAACTAATTATCAAATACTAATACTAACAGTATAGTCCAAGTTCATAAACGATCAATAAATTGTTCCTAAGGGGCATTCAAAGATATTGGTCGTAGTGTTTTACCGATAGGTGATAATTATTACTTATAAACATATTTCTAAAAATAAGAGTTTTCATTATAATCACAATGGTTTTGTTAGAATTTTGTTGTATCTATTTAATCTTTTGTTCAAATGATGGCGTGGGATCATTCATTCAATATAAAATACAAGGACCTGTGCATATGCTCTTAATTGTTTGACTCTGCTACCTACTAGTCTTTTGCCTTGCAAAGAAGAGTAGCTTTGAGCTGATTTTTTTTTTTTTTTTTGCCTTGCAAAAAATGATTTCAAGGTGTAAATTATTAGTGCCGTGCAAAGGGTGAAGTTTCTAGTTGTGTTAATTTCGCAAGATGTTACTACAAAGAGTTAATTTGAGTCATTTAGTACCCACTAGTACTATGTTCGTACATTGAAAAAAGTGAAAATTTTGTTTAAAAATGAAAAAAAAATTTCTACTTCCCTTGATAAATAGTATAAATTTTCAAATTTTAATTTAATTGATTTAAGCAATTATTTTTAAAAAATAATATTTAATAAATTTAAAAATTAAATTTCAATAACTATAATTATTTTTTTCATTTTCAAACTATAACATATTTAAAAAAAAAAAAAAACAATTATAGTTTTATTATATTCTTTTCATCTTAGTCAGATAAGACAAAGTAAAATTTGACTTGCATTTCACTTTTTTTCATGTCATTTTCAAGATACCAACATATCTTAAGAATTAAGAATGTATTATTATATTTGGAATTGAACGAAACGGAGATCTAGCTTTTCCAAAGCTAGTTTGCAGCACAGTACTTGGGCTCCATAAGCTAAGTTTCTATAAGCAAGCCCAAACCACATCAGGGACCCAAGAAAGGCCCATGGGTGGACCATGTTTGTGAAAGAGGCTCATTGAGAAAGTTATCGTTTCGTGTATCACCTGCCTTGAAAAACGACAAGCAAAACAATCGTCATCATGGAATCAACTTCGGCCCGCCCTTAGTCGAGAAGGCCTAGTGAACTCTTCAATGGCCTATAAAGAAATTTTTTTTTATGAGAAATAATGGCCTATAAAGGAATTATATTACCAATTTATTATCATAAAATAAATATATTCCTAAGCGAAGCAAAGCAAATTAAGAGAAAAAAAAAAGTATCAATAACTCCTGTGATAAAGGAAAAAAGAAAGTAGTTTAACCTAGTGAAAAATTATTACTAATATTATTATTTTAATAATAATTTTTTAATAAAGTGAATATTTTTAATCTTTACTTAATACTTTTAAATTTAAAATATATAGTACTTTTACTATCTTAAAGACAAATGTTTTTATATTACAACTTTAATAATAAATATAAATAAGTAATATTTTTTAATGATTTAATAATAGATATTTCAATATAAAAATATTAATTTTTAATAGTGTAAGTACTTTTAGTATTTTAATAATAAATATTATTGTAGTAATAATAATATTTTAATATTTTAATATTTAATATAAATAAAATTTTAATAATAAATTGTAGTTTTCAATTATTTAATATTAATATAATGTTTCACTATTAAACATTACTATTAAAATAATATTATTTAAAATGTTAAAATTTTAATAATATATTTTTAATATTTTAATAATTGTATCAATATTACTATTAGAAAGCATAATAGATTTTTCAGAAAACTATTAAACAACAAAAAAAAAAAAAAATTTCATTTAATCATCAAAACAATAAAAAAAATTTATTTTTTATAAAATATTTTCTGAAACGAAAAAACGGAGCCTAAGTTAATATCATTTCGAGACAATGCCTGAAATTGCGCCTTTAAAGCGTGTTAATGGGCCACAACTTGTTGCCACCATAATGGCCAAGAATCTCTATAAATGGTCCACTTTTCCATTAAGTATTATATATATGATCATTAAAAATAGTTGAAAGCTATGAAAAATAAAATAGCGTTCCTTAGACAAACTTTCTCTGCTCTTGATTTGGAAAATCTTGCAGCCAATTTAATTCTCATCATGGGTGTCGGGGGATATTATGACAATACTTAAAGTAACTCTGTACGAGAAAACAGCAGTCTGGTGATGTTTCTTTCATTTTTTCTCTTGCTTTTAGAAAAAGAAAAAAAAATCAGATTTTAGACAGCTTTTAATATACCTAATTGCAAGTAAATCAGAAGAAGGAAATGAAATTTTAGTCATCGAAATGAAACAACACTATAATGTGTTTTTATAAATGATAATTAGATAAGTGGTGTGCTTAATATGATCTATAAGTAGAACCACATAAATTATATATAGGAATAGGAGGTCTTTTATTCCCATTTATGCACTAATTTTAAATACTCATAATTCCCAACACCACCCAATTTGTCCTAGCTATTTTCCAGTAGTGAGATTCCAAATCTTTGTAGTTAAGATATGCCTCACCATTTTGGTTTATTATTGGATAACTTATGCTCCACCTTCTTGAAAGGACTTGGAATTTAGCAACACCACCAATTTTTAATCGGGTACCTGGCGGCTGCTGCTATTAAGAGCATCCTCGAATCGACAGCAGGAGTCTACTCTCATCTCCGTGCTTGTATCATTCTCTGGTGCAGGATAATAATCTTCTCTAAGTTGAACATCCCTGAGAGTTGGGATTCTCAGGAGAAACATCATGAAGTGTTCATTTGCTGTTCCATGAATGAAAAGTTTCCTCAGACTCCCACATTGCGCTAGCAGTCCTGCTGCTGGGAGAAAAAGACTTCTCTGATTGACATCCGCGTCCTGTGCGGGCCAATAGTTTAGTTCATTAAGATGCAAATTCTCAATTCCATTCAGAAAAAATCTCTCCCACAAGCTCAAATCTGCTTGTCCTGTGGGAGCAGTAAGAGCATAACCTATCACTCCACTACAGTCGAGAAGCATCCTTGAAAGCCTTGGATAGCAGGCCAAGGAACGCAGCCCAAATGCATCCATGAAAGGCCTTGGTTGATTCCTGCAATCACCTTCAATTTTTATTTGTATCTCTTCCAGTGCAGGACAATCATCTAAACCTGCCAAAGATAATGGAGTGAGCAACTCACCTGCAGCAATCCAAAGGGAAAGATAGTGTAGCTTAGTCCAAGTATTAGAAGAGAACAAATTATCATTCTCGACATCGTAGGACTTGTATTTCTTTTTCAAACTTTTTTCTTCCCTGATGATGCCTCGTTTCCCTGCTTGGAAGTTCTCAAATCCACCTGGTTGTTGATTTGAACTGCCTGTCTGGCCTTCTGAATTATCAACACTTTCCCACACGCAATCTATATGGAGTCTTTCTATCCGGTCTCGAATTGGTTCCAATGCCTGCAATGATGAAACTGCATTGAGGTTTTTGCAGTAAGAAATTTTCACATCAACCAAAGTTTTCCGAAGAACATGAGTCAATTTCCACATCCCCGTTCCAGTGATTCTCTTGCATCCTAGCACCTCAAACTTGGAAAGTCTCGGGCAGCCTAGAGAAATAGCTACCAAAACGGTATCAGTTAATTCAGCAGAATTCTTGATTGACAAAGATTCCAACCCATGGCATAGGGCCATTCCATCTGGTCGAAAATCTATGCCCCTGCAGATTCCATGGAACTGTCCCAGCTTCAAGGATTTAAGCCTGGGGCACCTGGAATTAAGTAACTCCAACGCTGGCCAGGCATCCCTAACATTGTGACAAACATCGAGAACTAAGTCTTCAAGTAGTGGCAATCCAGCAAATACATCTCCAAGTGCAGCATGGCTGATACTTGCCTCTTCAGATGTGTAACCCTCATCGTTTGGGTCGGACCTAACGTTGGACAAAGAAGTTGCATCAACGAGGTGAAGTAGAGAAAGGCAAGGACAATTTGAAGTAAGAGCAAGCAAGGTTTGATCGTCGATAAATCCAATGAATCGATGGTCAAATATACATGTTGCAAGCAATTCACGGAGGTTTGGACAGGAGGCAGTAATGGCTAAAAGCTCATGGGACTTGAACCCCTCAGCTGAAGAATGTTTGAGGATATTGAGATGGGAAAGAGAAGCTGCAATCGAAGGGTATGCTTCAATTGCTGGTGGAAGATCCTCAGTCCAGCAATAAAAATGTGAAACATCAAGTGAAGAAAGCATACGACAATGCTCAAAAAGTGCAATAAAATCAGAGCCAAGAGGTGTAGGTAAACGCTGATGCCAACGTATGAGCTTAACATGTCGTAAGTTAGGCCATTGGGGAGCTAGAAGATTGAGAGTTGAAGGGTTGCGGATATAAAGAACGAGAGAAACAACTGATGGAAATGCATGTCGAAAGAGTTGAGCAAGAAGAAGTGGGCTTGGAGAGGAATCAAGAAGAGGGTGTCCCCATGGGGAGAGGAAAGAGAGGTCGAGATTGGTAACAGCTCGAAAGCAAGTCGGGAGGAGGAAGAGATCACGGATGTTGCCACGGAGGGTGAGGGATTTGCGAGTGGAGCGCTCGAGCAAGTGCCATCTGAGACACACAAGGGACATGGCATTGCGTGTGCGAGTATCAGTAACGAAAGAGAATATGATGGAGAGAATCACATCCGGTATGTCATGGAAATGAACATTGCTTGAAGTTTCAGCCATTTCTTTTTTTGGCATATGCCGTCCTAATGAAAATCAAGAGAGATTAATATGTTGAACCTGGAACTTAAATTCTATATTTTGTATGTGTATGGGGACAAAGGGTCATCAGTGAGAAATGTATAAGCCAAGATAAAATCACCTAGATTCAAAGGCTACTACTAGCGGCTTGTTGAGAGAAAGAGAGAGTTAGCTAATGCACATATGACTGGGCTGAAGATAAATGTATAGAAACTGATCAACTTGTGTTGTCTATATATAGTGAAGAACAAGTGCATTTATATAATTTTCTTTGTGTATTTTTATATTTTAAATGAAAGAAGCATATTATAATTAATCAATTATAGCTTAAAAATATATAAGGTTCATTAAAAATTTGTATGAAACTCATTTTTATAAATGATGAATTTTTATGTAAATTTTATTATGATTAGACAATTACAAGATTATAATAAAAAAAATGAGTGAAATGCTCTTCTAAAAGAGTATATGTCAATATTTTTAATTCAATTAGGGTCGTAATAAACTCCAACACCACTTGTGGATAGGAATAAAAATCAAGAAAGAAAAAGCATGCATTATCTATAGGGGAGGTGTGAAAATGAAGATAAAGATTCAAGAGCTAGTTAATTGGAGGCCTACAAAAGAGAGATATTTGGGAACAAAATATATAGTATCTTTTATGTGGTGTGAGAGAGAAAGATAAAGTGAATAAAAAACTGGGTGATAATTAAAAGAAGCCTGTAAATGTTAGTAACCTTGGAAGTGCAATGTGAGGGTGAAAATGAAGATTCAATGAAAGAAAGAGAGAAAGAGATGAGGAATCTGGATGTCAAGGTGAGGAAATAAAGATGAAAGGAAAAAAAGTAGTGGAAACTGGAAGGCCCTGAAGGAGACGAGATAAGAGGGGAGTTTCTGATCATGTAGCTGAGGTATGATCGTGAGGACGAAGATAAAGATACAGAAACCTGTGGCCTCGGATAGAATATTGGAGCGGAGAGGAGAGGAGGGGAGAGAATGAAAACACAGTTATGTTAATTTTATAACAGTAATTTGATATTTGGGCATGCCACTTGCCGTATGAGGCCTACCCCATCGATCATGTTTGATATTGATCATCATCCACTACCCAATTACCCTTCCCTTTTCATTATTCCTTCTTTTCCACCTTTCCCTTGATATTCAAGGTCTCTATTTTTTTCTTTTACTAAATATAATAGATATTTATATGCTAGTATCTAGCAATATAGGAAACTTTGATAAATGATTGTGGCATCATTTTAATTTTTTTTATATTTCAAAATATCAAAATTAAGAGTTCATTTTACTAATAGATGATGTATTGTTAGTACTTTAATTTTATATATGATAGCTAGTAATTTTTTTTCTTTTTTTCATTTTCCTCATTTTTCTTTTAATTTTAATCTTCATCCAAATGTCAACCCAAATTTTTTTCTTTGGGTTCTTGAATTTGTCACATAATTGTCTATGATTTAAAATTACTTTTGCATTCATAAATTTTTTTTATAAACCTTACATAATATTAAATTATAATTATTTAATTAACTACAGTAATTTTAACTGATATTTCTCCATATTTTTCGAACAAAACACAACTACGCTACTATCTTCTCGAATCACACTCTTAAGAGGAGAATCAGAGTTTGAAGGGGGTAGGGTTTTGTAATTATTAGAAGCTTAAAAGGATAAGGGTAAAATTTCTAAAGGGCAGATAGAAGTGCACTTAAAGTTAAAGCAAAAGGAATGATTTGGTTAAAGGAAGTTATGGATATGGTAGTTGGTAAATATAAAAAGCTTCTGCTACTTAAAAAATGATTAAAACAAAGACATAGGGTAAGTGAATTTAAAAAAGTTTTTGTTACTGTTGGAAGGAAGAAAAGAGAAAGAAGAAAGATCCTTTTCTTCTTCTTTCTAAAAAAGAAAAGAGAAAAGAACATTTCTAAAAAAGAAAAGAAAAGAACAAACAAGGTGAGTGCTCAAATGCAAGTGGAGAAAAAGGAATCACAAAGGAAAAATAAGTAAATTTTCAAATAATGTTTGCAAAGATGCTGCAATTTTATATATCAATTTTTATACACATTGTTGCTACAAAATGTTGCAATAGCTATAGGCTATTCTACTACAAGATCTTTTATGTGCATGCCAAATTTAAATTCATCATCTAATTTCAACATTATTAAAGCTATACTGCAAACTTTATCCAAAGCGTTTAGAAACCAAGGAAAATGCTCAGCATAATCCTTGATTCTTTCGAAATATCAGTTTCCTGTATATCAAAAGCCTTCTCTAAACAAGAAATGAGAGAATTTATAAATGTTTTTGTTGTGTCATTGTAACTTATAAAGTCGAGTTGGCAACCTAGTAGGATACTACTTGTCTACTGGTTGTCAAGTTGAAGGAAGCACAACCAAAAAAAAAAAAAAATTACAAACATACAAACATGAATTGGTGCTTTGAACATCTCAGGCGCATTTCCTACACCCCCCCCCCCCTCCCCTCTCCCTTGGCAATGACTTGACGTAAGGGCATGCTCATCAAAACCGACCCAAACGATAAAGAACATGCATGGTACCTGCTGCTACTACTACTTTCCTAATATAGAATCAAATTAGGAGAACACCAAAGCAGAAAAAACAAACCATGAAGAACAATAACAGAACCACAAAGGACAACATGCGAATAAAGCCTCTGAAGTCTAAACACTCTGATCGATATATAGACCTCCGTATCCCACCTCTCAACAGGTAAGGCATGCGCACTTGTGACAAAACACCACTCCTTTTTTCTGTTTTTCTACCACCAACTTCTTGCTTGGCTTGGGATTGATTTCCGAATTTTAAACTGATCTTTTTGAAAGATACAAATATCCATATTCACTACAGATTGCTTATTCGTTGAACAATAATATGTCGAGAATAATCTGAATTAAGTTCCCTGAGCGTTCCATGTTTTATCAATTTCCTTCTAGTTCTCAACGAGTAACCGCAGCATTTAGGATTTAACCATGCAATATTGATATTATGTGATTCAATCACTAATTCTATTAATTTTTTATAGTTAAAAATGTTGATGTGATTATTGATTTGATAACATTGGTATTGACTTTAGTAATGTGATGTTGATTTATTGACGTAATAACTTAAATGTATAAAATTAATTATTAAATTATACTAATAAATCATGTAATCACATGAAATTTAACATTTAGTGCATTAGGTATAATTTCATAAAAATTTTATCCTCGTATAAGTTAAAATTAATAATAGTGGTACAATTTTTAATAAATATATTGTTTTTTCTTTTTTTTAATTAAATTTTTTTGAAAAAATCAAATCTAAAGTTTTTTAAGAAAATTTCCATATTTTTAAAATATTAATTTAACATTTTTAAATATTTAATATTTAAAAATTCATATTTTAGAATTTTTAAAATCAAATTTTAATTTTTCAAAAATTCAATATTTTGAATTTTTTAGAAATTTTATAGTTTTTAAAATATTAATTGTACATTTTTCAAAATTTTAATTTTTCAAATAAAAATCATTTTTGAATTTTTATTTTTTCAAATTTACCATTTTATTGGATCAAAATATTTTAATTTTTAATTTTTAATTTTTTAAAATTTTTATAAAATTTTCTATATTTTTTATTTTTTTTTAAAAGTTGTCTATATTTTAACATTTAAATGAACAAATATATAAATAAACTATAAATTAAGAAGACACAAATCTTTAAAATTTATTCTATTTTAGTTTATTTGAAGTGAAAGATTAAAAAAATTTGAAATAAAACAAAGAAATAATAAAATATGAACCAGTTGAACAGGAATTAAGTGATATACAATAGTAACTACCTCTAGAATCTCAATATCTTATTGATCCTATGAGCTGTGTGTATTTTATGTTGGGTTTGCCTAATATTTTGTGTGATTCGGTAAATCTATATACTTTGTGTTAAGTTTGATAAGAATATCAAGTTTTAACGAGATAAGTTATAATATCTCAATCTCATATTGGGATGTTTTGAGAATCTGTTATAATATATAAATTGAGATTTAATCTCAAACTTATAAGACGTTTTTTGTGAGACAAAATTATAAAACATTTGGATTAAAGTAAATAATATTCCGCAAATTTAATGCGAGTCTTCACATAAATCTCAACATATTCAAAGGAAACAAAGGAAATAACTTTTTCACGGTTAAAAGTTAAAACTACGTCAATCCTATCCTATGTCTCCGAATGTTAATTTTATCATAATCAACAAGGTTAGAGTTTAACATAATGCCCCTCTAATGCCTAAACTAATATCTACGAGAACACTGATTGTAGGCATATTTCACGCTGTTCAGATGTGTATAAGTGCATCACCAAGATACTGGCATGTAGGCTGCAACACTATTTGCCTATGCTCATCAGTAATAGTCAAAGTGCATTCATTAAGAGAAGAAGCATTTCTGACAATGTGCTAATGGCACAGAAGCTGGTTAGAGGGTACAGCAAAACCACTCTTTCCCCAAGATGTGCACTCAAAGTGGATTTAAAGAAAGCTTTTGACTCTTTAAGTTGGGAGTTTTTGATATCAGTCCTATTGGCCATGGGGATACCAAGGAGATTTGTTAGGTGGGTGCAGTGCTGTCTCACGACACCAAGGTTTTCATTGTCAATTAATGGTGGCTTGGTAGGATACTTTGCGGGGGCAAGAGGAGTCTGGCAAGGACACCCATTTTCACCTTACCTATTTGTTATTGCAATGAATGCATTGTCAAGATTGCTGGACATTGCAGCTGAGTTTGGGATCTTTTCTTACCGTCCAAAATGCAAGAAAGTCAAATTGACACGTGTTTTGCGGATGACTTAATTTCACGAAGGGGAATATGGACTCTATTACTGGGATTCAGAACATACTACATCTCTTCTACTCTTACTCGGGGCTTCAGCTTAATAATGCAAAAAGTGAGTTGTTTAGTTCGAAGATCCAAAGGCAAGAACTGCTTGAGATATTGCAAGAGACAGGTTTTAAACATGGAACCCTCCCTGTTAGATATCTTAGTGTTGCTTTGGTCACGCGCAAACTTACTGTCAGGGACTGCACTCCATTAATTGAAAGGATTACTACAAGAATTAATAGTCAACTGATACAATTAATCATATTCAGCATGCATAATTACATGCATAATTACTGGTGTCGGCACTTTCAGCACGCATAACTACTGGTGTCGGCACTTTGTTCTCCTTCAAAATGTTGTAAGGAAGGTCATACAACTATGTTCAAGTTTTTTTCAGAATGTCTAGGCCAATTCAGCAAAAGGGGCAAGGGTAAGGTGGCAGATCATATGTAGTCTTAAGCCAGAGGGAGACCTAGGACTAAAAGACCTTCTCACATGGAACCAGGCTTGCATCCTAAAGCATTTATGGTCACTCTCCTCGCAAGTTGGCTCAATATGGATAGCATGGATACATATATACGTGCTCAAAGGGCAAAGCTTATGGGAGATGCCAATTAGTAAAGGTACTAGCTGGTGCATGAAAAAGCTATTACAATTGAAAGTACTGCTTCCAGGCTCTTGGTGCAAACAGAAGAAGGTATGGTTTGGAATGCTGGTGGTTCGAGGTATTCTGCTGCTGCTGTATGCAGAGAACTAAGAGCATAGCAGACAAAAGTAGATTGGCACAGGCTTATATGGTGCAAATTTCATATCTCAAAATGTACCGTCATTGCTTGGATGGCTATTCTCAATAAACTTCCTACCAAAGACAGGCTGACTTCATGGGGGATTGCAAATGAAGGAGGCTGTGTGTTGTGCAGTCAGGAGACTGAAAGCAGAAACCACATAATTTTCAGTTGCAGCTATTCGAAAACAGTGTGGAAGGGGGTTTTGAGACTATGCAATTTGCACAAAGAGGTTGCTGGCTGGGAAAATGAGTTATAATGGGCAGTGATGAAGTTTCGAGGGAAGTCCTTATTGTCTATCCTATTACAACTAGCTTGGGGAGTATACCTATATTTGATATGGAAAGAAAGGAATAGAAGGTATTCAAAAGAGAAGATTGCTCTGGAGAACAGATTTTGCAGCAACTCAAGGAAATGGTTAGGATCAGATTAATAGGGTTGTAGAACATTGCCAATGATCATGTAAATAGGGAGTTAAGTGAAAGATGGGAACTTAGTGCAGATATGTTTTTAGTATAAATCACACATTGTAGAAAGAATGTTGTTCTGTAAATAGGTAGCAGCAAATTGCTGCTTCTTGGATAACAATATTACAATTTATCCAAAAACAATATATCTACGAGAACATATCCTAAAATTTAAAACTCCTAACCTCTTATCTGCGACTTCTTGGAAACCCTTCCAAGTACCATCAAGTCACAGATCCCTAGTTGTAATAGCTTTCCTTGAATGATCTAAAGGTGAGCTATGATTTGAGTTCAATGTATATAACACCCACAAGTGGCTCTAGGTAAAGAAGTTGGAAGTCAAAGCCAAAAGGAAAGGGGTGATATATGGGTAGGTTTCTTCTAAGAGCTATGATCTTTCAAATACATTTACCAGATAAAATGTTGTCCATTGACACTAGCAAGACCAACCATCGAGGCAGCTCTGTCACTACCTCTAGAAGAGGATGCCCAGATTGAGTAGCAACGAGTTTAAGCTAGGGAACAAACTGTCTCCAAGCTTCACCCCTTGTCTGTATATATTTAATAAAGATTAAACGCAGACATACAATTTTTAAATTTGACTATGGTGTATAATTTCCTTACAGCTTTAGAAAAGTTGTGAATTGCTAACCAAGATTCTAGAGGCATTCATAGCTACTATCAGAACTCTTAAGCCTCGCACAGTCTGCTAGCTAATAAATGACTCATTTGCAAGAGCAGAGTTACCAAATACTTATTCACACATGGTATTGCAAGAGTATATGAAACACTCCCACTCTTTTTATCATATATGAGAAATATATGCAATGAGACAAACTAAAAAGGATCACAGAGGCAAATCTTGGGGAGGGGGGGGGGGGACCAAAAATTTTGATAATATTATAGCATAAAACTTGGCCCCCCTTCCCAACTTGGTTCCCTATTTCAGCCCCCTTCATGATTTTCCTGGCTTCGCCTCCGATCACAACTTGCGAGACCTTAAAAAACATGGAGAACATGAGTACATGACCTAAAATAAAGAAGAAAACCTAAAATAAAAACCGAAATAAAGAAGAAAGAAAAATATAAACTCCTTTGCTTTATTAGAATTGATACGCAGGGGATCAATATCCAACACAATTAGGATTACTAATTCATTAAGAACAAAATTCAATTGTGCAAAGGCATGTTGTAGCTATACAATAATTAACTACAACAACAGCATCATGCCCCCATTACCAATCCCCTGCCAAGCATTTCATTCATCAGTTTCTACCCATTCAAAAGTCAAAATCATTACAGTACTTATTCAAGTTATGACAATGAATTATAACAAAAACCGAACAGAAACAAAAGAAAAAAGGTGTAACGACTACCCTTTTTAAGCTGCTGTGGGGACCATCCCCTGCTGGCAAACGCAAACAAGTTCATCCCAGCCAGTACTGGCCTTAAGTCCATCAACAAGCACACTCAGATCCACCTCGGCACGAACTCTGTATGATGATCATACCTTCCAACAAGTGCATCTTCTACCATAATATCCCACAAACAAACCGTCATATCCTACGAACAAGACACAATCAAATTCCTCCTATGCGGCGAAAACTTAATTTTCCTAACAGCATAACCACGACCATTGAAACCGAAACCGGCACCCTATAATTCCTGGCATCTCAAATTTAAGTCCCAGATTCTTACTGTACAGTCACCGGCAGCCTAGGCAAAAACGTCGGGGTGTTTGGGGTTCCACGAGGCGGAATACACGCAGTAAGCGTGTTCCCTAAAAGTGCGGAGGGAAGCGGAGCGGTCGATGGTCCAGAGCTTCATGGAATCGTCCCACGAAGTGGAGAGGAACGAATCGCGCCGCGTGAGGTATAAACTCGAGAACGTGGACTTCACGGGCGTGTTCTTTGAGAGAGCGGAGAGGGTTGGTGTGAGGAGGGATGGTGGTGTCGTAGACTTTGATAGAACAATCAGCAATGGCGGCGACGAGGACTGAGTCGTGGGATTCCGACTACGCAGGGTCGTAGACTCCGTCAGCGGTGTCGAAGGCGATGAGTTCGTTGATGGTTGGGGAGAGGTCGATGACGTGGTCACAGCCGTTGCCTAAGATGCCGAAGTTTTGGGCGGTTGCTACTGCTAAACGGGACTCGTAAAAAGGGGAGAGCCTAACGCAGTTGCCGTTGAACGGGGTTTTGAAAACGGGCATCGTTAATATTCAGCATTTGGAGGATTGACCGTGGCGCAAACGGTAAAGGAACTTTTTTTCCCCGGGACTAGTCTTTGGTGGGTAATAATTTGGTTTTCCAAAGATTTGGACGAGGTTTTTTTGCGGTAAAAAGTGAAATCGATCGAGTTTAAAGTTTAAATTGATATGATATTAAATTTGAATTTAAAATTTAAAATTTTGTTTGAATTTAATTAAATTTTATTTTTTTTATTTAAATTTGATTTGAAATAAAAATTAAATTAATATATAAAAATAAATTTAATTTTTATATTTGATAAAAATTTAATTATTTATATTTAAATTTGAGTTCAAATTTAAAATATTTTATTAATTAAAATAATAAAAATTATTTAAATAAAAATTTAATTAAATTCATATAACTCACGAATCGAACATAAAAATATTTAAATTAAATTCAATGAATCAAACTATTTAATTCAATAATAATTATATTAAATTTAAAAATTTTTCAAATCAAATCTAAATATCTTATAAATATTAATACAGAGAATTGCACCTGACTTTCAACTTCAGCAAAGCTGAACTTCATCAGTCTCACTTTTACCAGGAATTGCATTTTTTTCTTTGGGCTTGAGTGGAGAAGAACGGAGAATGGGCCAGATCCAGTACAGTAAAACTTGGGCGATACTAAAAGGCTTAAAAGAAAATGAACCAGATCCAGTAAGCTGGGAATGCTAATTGGGACCAGGTTTGATGGCCGAATACCTTCAATTATAGAGAAACTGAAAAGTTGGTCCTTGGGTAGATTGGGTCAGGTTACTTTGGATCGAAAGAAATTCAAATAGTTTGGTTTATCTATAAGTTTTAGATCATTAGGGTTCTTGATTGGGTTATTAGGTTCTAAGTCATTTTTTGTCCAAGTTGTTTAACTTTTGAAGTGAAATCAGTTTTCAATTCAGGATTTCACTTCAGGTTAAGATGTATGAGTATGAGTTCACTTTTATTAAATTTGTCATGATTTATTAAGTGATGTGTTTTATCTCAAACAAAATAAAAATCAAATTAATTTGGCTTTAGATCATATTGAGTTGGTTTTAACAGGTTTGAATTATTGAATTTTCTTAATCACATAGGATTACATTGGATTCAAATTTAATCTGATTTTTCAAGTTTGGATCAACTTTCATCTTGAATTCCATGCCAATAATGCCATTTGTGAGTATTTTGGTTACAAATAAATAATAAAATTTTGAAAAGTTATACAACTCACTTTAGGATTTTTTATTATTATTATTTTGGAAAGGAAATATTTGAGTCGTACTCTTTGAATAAACAAGATTACACACCAATAATCGAAGCAAATGCTTGAAGGTGTATTTTAAGGTATTTCTAAAAATGAGGAGACAATGAGTTTGGTCGCTCAGTGGGCCTTGAGCCCCCGCTCACTTGGATGAAAGGCTCCATGCCCAATAACAAACAAGAGGACAAGAAGGCGTTGAAATGAACCTACGTATGGCTGGCTTGCGTATCTACTGCTGCTACGGCCTGTTGGCCACCGAAGCTTTCAACAACTGTGTCTGCTCTACATTTGTCTCACAACTATAAATAAATATATACAAGCGGTACTTTTCTAATTAATCTTTCCTTGCTTCCGATCTGCTATCTGCATATTACAAATTCACGTCTCATATATAAAATTTAAAGAGTTTTTACTTGTTCGTTCAAACTAGCATTAATTTTATCAGTTGTTATTGTTTAAGTAGAAAGAAAATTTTCAACAATGAACATTTTGAAGATTTCTTTGTGTAATTAATAAATTAATAATCGAATGGTAATTTAACTGTACATATTAAAAATATTTATTCAAAAATATTTATAATAAAATTATTGTGTAATATTTTTAAAATATAAAATTCATAACAATTATAAGTATTGGATATAAAACTTTAAGTTTTTTTAGTATTATTATTATTATTATTATTGTTGTTGTTGTTATTTTTTTTATAATTTAATGTATTCAAATTAAATCCCACTGAATAAAAATTTTGAATCAACTACTGAATTTGGTCTGTTTAAATTAGTGATAGTTTTAGGTATGAATTTAATGTTATTAAAGCACTCACTCCGTTTGAATTTGTAGGTTGTTGTCTTCCGAGTTAGGAGTTAGGGCCCCTTCCATTAAATTTTGTGGGGGAGTTAAACAACAAAGGGAGGAGAATGACTAAATGAGCCATCTGGGAACTTGCTCCGTCCTGTTTGAAATCTGCATGACGCAAAACAGCGTGGACGTGTACAGTCGCTGGTGCCTGCCACAGCTGCAATGTCCCAAATTAAAAATGGTGGCCCAATTAGGGATGGCCTCAATTTGATACTGGGCTCAGAGTAAACTCGGCGTTTACCAAAATGCAAACTCAGGCTCGTCAAGGCAGACCACTGCTAAAGGAGCTTAAAATCTTTTATTGGTTAATATTTAGTAGAGGGTAAATATGTTTCGTTAATAAAATATATATCATTCTACATTTCTCAAACTAATTTGTTCATCAATAAATTTGGAAAAAAGAAGAAAAAAATTAAAAAACTGAGACAATTAATTAGGTTATTTTAAGACGTACCAAACTTGAATATAATATCTTATTTTAAGACCTCATCTTTCCTTGTAATTAATTAGGCTTCTTTCTCAATAAAATGAGGGAGACAATTATTGATGCCATCAAAGAAACAGCTATCCATCGAAATATGTACACAAATCCAATTCTCAAAGAAAATAATAATAAAAAATACTTAATTTAAATGGTTTATTCAGTTCTCTTAAAAATGAATTTTTGTAAATTTGAGATTAAATTCTAAGTAATTTTTTCTTTTTCAATTCTCTAAACTCTGGCTTTCGTTTGTTAACAAAAAAATATATATATATAAAGGAGAAGATTAAAAGTATTAGTAATTAATAATAAATATTAAACAACATTTATGTACTCCTTTTACATGGAGTTAACAAGCAAAAGCCCCGGAAGTTTAGAAATGGTGTTGAAGTCAAGTCGGCCAGATTTGGAGTTTTCCTGTAAACAACTTCATTGATAAGGTTTGGTTTCATTTGACCCCATTATTTAAAACTTATCTTTATGCCATTTCTCGACACAATAATTTATTGGTCAAAAACATAAATAATTTTTTTTATCATTTTCTTTTTGTTTTTATGTTCAAAGTGTTCATTGGAATTTAGAAATAAATAACAGTTGAAATTAATAATATCAAATTATAATAGAATTGTTAACTTTTAAACCATGTTACTAAAATTAGTGAGAAAGTATTGGTAAGCAGCTTTTGTTTTAGAGACCTAAATTAACTAATAGCAGGGGGAAAAAAAGGAGAAAAGGATGAAGTTCTAACAAGCAGGAATGTGATTTCATCAACTTTGCGTAAATCAAGATCCCTTTATTTTTAAGTTTGACAATTATGATATATGAATTTAAAATTTAATTTATTTAATTTATGTGATCATTATAAGATGCTATAGTTATTAAGTTTAAAATTTAAATATCGATACTTATAGTTAATTTTTCTATTTTCATGAATATTATTTAATTTGTACAAATCTTATTTAACAAATAATGACGAATCTTAATACTTAATTTAAAGAGGTTAATTAATATTATATTTTATTTTATTTTATATTTCATGTAATTTATTATATCACATATATACATACAAACAATATGTTAATATATGCAATTAATTTTAATTTTGAAGGGAGTAATTTAAGTTTATATATATATATACACTAAAAATTGCTAAAAGTTTGGGAGGGGACCTTAAAAGTTGAAAAAACTTTGAGGGACCAAGATCCCTCGCGCTTAAATGCCGGTCTGCCCCTATAAGAAAATGATTTAACATTCAAAATGCCTTCAAGGGTATAAATTTACGTGAAAACATATTATTTATAATTATTATAACGTAATTAATTAATTATAATTTAGTATTATATAGGATTTATAAAAAAATCAAGTATAGCACACACTATTAAATGATATTATAGTAAAAAGAATTGTAAATTAAATACTTTTAATTTACATATAATATACTTTTATTATAATTTTTTATCTCTCTCTTTCAGAACATTCAACGGCAAAAAGTTGTTCTATTAGTAGTAAATTTAAATGATATTTTTACTAAAAATAAAAAATAATTAGAAGACTTGAAAAAAGGCAAAGAAGATTGTAATTAAATCAAATCTTAAATAAGAATTTATTTGTTTATGTGAAGATAAAGGGAATAAGTCCAAAACAGAACATGTCCAGAAGTAAAGCCTTTTGCCAATGTGATTGATGTATTTATTTTTATTTTTTTGGGCCATTGATTGATGTGTAGTTTAGGGGACCCATAGTTTTATTATATAGTTAGTAATTTGTTTAATCATAGTTGAGGTGATTAAAAGGGTCTTAAAAGTATTGCAAGACAGTCAAATAATTTAGAATGAAGAAACACAAACATAAAAAAAGTGACAATGAATTTGGTGAGCTAATTCAGCAATCAATAAGAAAGGGTTTTGCTAAGATTCTTTGATAGAGTTCAAGACAATATATATATATATATATATATATATATAAAACCATCAAAATTCAATGGACCCTCCTTCTCCATACTATCACATGTTGCCCACTAACATCTACATCTGAACCATTAAATTGGTAGGCCACAGCTTGGATGGGACATTACTGAGATTAACAGCAAATCAAACCATTTAAACAGTTTTAAACTACCTTGTTTTCTTGTGGCAAAATCCCAATGTAGTCTCACTAATTTTTTGTTATTGCCCCAAGTGAAAATGAAATAATAAACATCAAATCAAACCATTTAATATCCTCTTTTAAGGGATTGGCTTGAAAATTTTTCTTGGTGTCATGATCTAGCTTTTTGAAAATTAATGGTTACTTACAAAAGAATTTTGTAACTACTGTATGTGAAAGGGGAGCACAAAGCAATCACTCTCACATGAACATTTTGAAAGTTAAATCAAGAAATAGGGTAAAAAGAAGTTGGGAATTGGGATGAAGCTATATGTGGCAAAGTGCAAGTGGGGCTGGCTACAATTCGTAGTAGCAAAAAGGGTCAGATAGACAATTACAAAAATAATTGAGTCAAAGCACTTAAAAAAAAAAAAAAAAACCACAAAGGGGGTGGAAGGATAAAGTAAAAGAATTCTACCATCTAAACTTCACTTTCCAACGAAAGCCACAACCCACATGATCTTGCTTGGGGATATTGAAAGATCGCAACCCCCTCAAAAGAAGATTTCCCAATACCCCAATTCCCTAGCCCCCGTTCACACAATCCCAATTTAACTCTAAACAAGGCCTCTATCTCTCTTTTTCTCAATGGCCCCATGCCAATTAGCCTCCTCACATAATATCAGTGGCATTTTCGGTATTGAAATGACCCGTGTCACAAAGTGATTGAAGTATGTTTCACAGGCCAGCTCCTGGAGGAGGTCTTGTTCAGTTGTTCTGGCTTATTTGGCAGCCCCAATCATGCATCAACATGTGTCACCAATAAGTCCTCCAACCTTTCAATACCAAAACCCAAAATTATTGATCTTAGTGAACGGAAAGAAGATGGGGGCCCTAAATGATGGATCCAAAGGCAAAGTACAGAGGAAGGTGCAATTATTCATGCCATAGATTTCATCCTAAGCAAGTGAAGAAAAAATTCCCTCAAAAACGCAGAGAAAAAGAACCCCAAAAAAACAAAAGAAAAAAAAAAGAAAAAGTAAGACTATATAATAAAAAATCATTATTTTTTTTTTCTTTTATGTGACTGATTCTCACTCTCTTTCAGTCATCTAAGGCAAAAGAAAAAGAGATTTCTCTTTCTCCTCATATATTTCTTTCTATTACTTCCTTTCCTCCCTCTTTTTCATCTCCACTTTTCTCTCTATGAGAGACCAATATAGAGAGAGAGAAGAGCCATGAAGAACACCATCCGGTGCTGCATCTCCTGCATTCTTCCCTGTGGAGCACTCGATGTGATTCGAATAGTACACTCCAATGGCCGGGTTGAAGAAATCAGTGGCTCCATCAAAGCCAGCGAGATCATGAAGGCTCACCCTAAGCACGTTCTAAAGAAACCCTCCTCTTCTTCTGATGATGGGATGGTCCCAAAAATTGTGATCGTCCCACCAGACGCAGAGCTCCAACGTGGGAAGATTTATTTCCTCATGCCAGCCCCTTCAACACCCGAAAAAACCCGATCAAAATCTTCCTCAACAACCAAGAAGAAAAAAAGAGACTGTCTTGATAGCAACAACAACAACAACAGCAGCAGCAGCAGCAGCAGCAGCAGCAGCAGCAACAGCCACAGCCGCCAACATCGTCACAGCCGAAGCATGAGCAACGCCAACAAGAACAACACAATTTCAATGACTAATCTTATGATATCAGATCAGTATCTAAGTGAGATACTTTCAGAGAAGTTGTCAATGCAAAGGGATCGAAGCAGAGGCCGAGTTGGGGTGTGGAGACCACACTTAGAGAGCATCTCCGAGGCTCCAAACGATGGTTGATCATCATGAAGTTCGCTGTGTTATACTACTACTGCTACTATTTTGGATTTCAAAAATAGTTTACAATTTTCTTCATATTTTTATATGATTCATTTTTAGAAAAAAAAAAAAAATACATCCACCCAAACATCCATTAGGGTTCTAGGAACAGCTGCTTATTTGTTTTTTTTTTTCTTCTTCTTTTTTACATTTATTTTATGCCCTTTTATTAGTTTTCCTTTTTTTTGGGAGTTCTGTATATATAGGCATAGACGTAAAATAATAATGCAATGCAAGAGAAAAACAACTTGAGCTGTAATTTGGAAATTGTGGTGATGATTCTTACAACACAGTTGTTGTGGGATCTTGGGTCTGGATGATTTGCCACAGTTGCCGGATTTTTAAGTTTAATTTTCAAGTGCTAAATCTATTGGAAGTTGTATTTTTTGCAAAATTAAATGCTGAGAGAGGATTGTTTGTGGATTTTTTTTTCTTTTGTGGGGGAATTAAATTATTATCCAAAGGGATGAGAGACAACGAGGGATGTATACTTTTACTACTATTGAGCACCAAACATAAATATGGTATGAATTGAAAAAGATTTTGATTCTAAGGTGATTGTGAAATGATGTTGCCAATGGAATATATATTAATAATCGATCATGTTATAACATTTTGCCCACACTCTGGTTTTTATCATCAAGATAGGGTAGTTCATAGGAGATTTCTCATCATGATTTTGGAAATGATGATGATGTAAGGACTTCGTCACTTTCAGTAATGGATAAATTGGAATTTTATCGCATATATAGCAAAATTATCATTTTGGAAATAATTCCAAGTGGGCTTCTAATTGAAAATTGGTTCCTAGTTGTCACTTCGCAAAATTGAGAAGCTGTTGCTCGACACTTTGGCCTCTAATAAAACTTCTGTACAAAAAAATAGAAAGAAAAAAAAATTATTTCATTACATAATAGATCATATACCTTTCTATAACAATTGAAAAATCAAACAGTATATATTCATGAAAGGTGACACTTCATAGATATGCGATCGATCAAAACACATGATCAAACCAAATATAGATATGCGATGTCTACAGTCAAAATCAAAGGGAGAGAATTCACATGATAATGCTTTAATATGCTAGAACCCATAAATAATTATGGAGGTTGCAATCACAATGAAATATCCCCATCAATTGAAAAAGAAAACAAAATGATAGAATAAAAAATAAGAAAAGAAATAGTTTATAGAGATTAGTTAAACCAAAGTGACTTTGAGGTGCAAGGAATAATAGTCCCCACATAAAACTTTTTTCCACCAAAGAATAATTATAATTGCAGTTGCACTAAACAAAGTGGGCTTTTGGGGGGGGGGGGGGGGCATATGTCTTTCAACCATGTTTGTTCTCTTACAAGATGGTGTGCCAGCAGCGTCCTGTAAAGCTAATTAACGTACAGAAGAGTTTGACCTGTTCATTGGCTGGATTGATTGTTGCTGCTGGTGAAATTTCAGTTCACCTAGCTTCATCATCAGGGGCATGTTTGTTCTCTTACAAGATGGATTATCAGATGGTGTGCCAACAGCATCCTGTAAAGCTAATTAACGTACAGAAGAGTTTGACCTGTACATTGGCTGGATTGATTGTTGCTGCTGGTGAAATTTCAGTTCACCTAGCTTCATCATCAGGGGCCTGCCTGGATCAAATCACCATTTTCCGTTTTATATATATGTTCCTGAATCCTGATATGCAAATTTAATTTAATATTTTTATTGCCTTTTCCAGTCCCACCATCTGGGGCCAACAAAAAGGCAACAGAAGTTGGATAGATATCATTGGAATACGATCTATTTCAGTTGATGCTTTGGCATGTCAGAATTGCAGTTCATTTTTATCTGCTTGAACATCCAGTAAACTATTGAGTAAGTCTTTTTCCTCTTTTTTCAATTCCTTTTTCATTTATGGATGAATTAACCTTTTTTATTAAATTTTTTTAAGTTAAAGTTGTGAAGTTTGATATTTGATCATTGAAAATTAAAAATTTATCATTCAAATAATTGGCCTTTTTTATCATAAAATTTTTTCTAGAGAAACAATGTGAATGAAAAGTAACTGCTTTAGTTTTCACTGTTATTAACCTTGGACTACTCAAGATCGTGAGACCACAAAAGTTCATGTTTGTGAATTGTGATCTTTTTGCCTTCCTTCTTTTTCCTGCTGTTCAGACCAGACCAGATCAGATCGGCCCCTCATCATTCTTATCTTCTCTTTCCCCATGGGAAGTTCTCAAATTCTCAAATTAACCACTGTTTGCCGTCGACAAACACATACATAGGAGGCCAAATTATGGGACGATAGATACATGATTGGACTAAGCACTTAAAATGCCAGGCCAAGGGACCATAGCATCTTTAATAGATTAAACAAATTTGAAAGAAGAAGTGCTTGAAGTGCAAAATTTAAAAGACTTAAAAGGGTTTGAATCATGGGATTTGCTAGAATATCAAACTAGATTTATGTTAAGGAACTTCTAAAACTGGGAGAATTAATGTATCTATCTATATATATAATGTCATGCAATATATATTCAATGAATGACATTATGAGGCTACTGGCATTACCATATCCAAATAATTTAATTTGTTTCAAAATCATATTATTAATTTCTTATAACTAATTAAAAACTCTATATCATGACCAGATGACATCAGGGCATGAATTTTTTATTAGGCTTATATACTTCCTAAATAAAAACAAAACCTATTTATTAGAATTTTTTTTAAAATTGCCAAAAAAAGGATATTTTTAAAAATACTTGAATTCAAACCAAAGTCTATGAAAAATAAAGGAAGAAATTGGTTATTCCTTTTTGTGGTGCAGCATACTAGAAGTGGGAATTGGGAAATGCTAAAAAAATGTAATAATTCAAGAGGCCGGGGGGGGGGGGGGGGGGGGCGTCTCTCTTTCCCACTTTATTATGTAATAATAAAAAAAAAGGTAAGGGATCGTTTTTTCCACCTTTATACATTTATATATAATCTGAATTCTTTATATATATATATATTTGGCCACAAGAAAGATAAATTTTTTATAGTTTAGTTGTTTGTTTTCTTTGCATTCTTGTGCGATTTAATATCAAACTTCACCCCATGTTTCATATCTCCAATTCTTTTTCTGTTCGAGCAAAATCCTCATGGTGGATAAAATGTTCGAAAATGGATAGTAAATCTTGTTGTCACCCATATTTACAAGTGGCTAGTATACTATTGTTCTTTCTGTTATTTTGACAACCTTTCCCTTCTTCCAAACATGGGTTGGACCCTACTCCAATAATTCAGGGTTGACAAGACCTGTAAACAACTCTTTATTATTAGCATTGGTTTGCTACGGTATAAGGATTTAGTCTTTGAAAGATTTGAATATATCCGTTGAATTTTCCTTTCTGTAGGGGCTTAAATCTTGCTGCTATTGCCGCCACCCAACGATATTCATGGAGGCACTTGAGTTTGGAAAAGAGAAAGATGGGCAAGTACTTTTTTTTTTCCCAATCTAATAACCAAAGGGTATGAAAAAGAAAAGGTCGCCTAATTCAGTGAGAATTTGTTCTTCCCGACATGAAAGATGAAACCTACAAATAAGAGAGGCCTTGGTTCTTTGGAATGAATCAATTTAAAACAGGAAGATGGCTTTTGAACCTTTTTACACCCCTTTCTCTTACATGAGACAGTCAGGGCTTTAGCAGAGAAAGAAATCCACATGATCTCTCTTCCTAGATTTTATTTTGTAAATAATATCGATTTCATTTTGCTTCTCATAATTTTCTTTTTGTACTAGGCTGCAGTTGCTTGAACTTCAATTAAGCCGAAATCCGCTTAAGCTCATAAAATACATTCAAACTAAAAGTGGCTTTTGATGTAATTCTGGACTTACAAGAAAAGGACTCCTTGGAGATTGAACTAGTGAGTTTATCATAGTTGTCAGGAGAAATGTCAGAGCACTGAAGTTAGTAATTTAAAACGTGTTCAGTAGAGTGTTCGAGGAAGAAGGAAGTAAACAGACAAAAAGAGAATAGAACAAGAAAGTGTAAAGAATAGAAAAAATGATAGCATGCCTAGTTATGTTCTTTCTTTTATATCTCAAAGATGGTGATGTAGCTGGTTGCAAAAGTGATTATCTATCTTGAAACACGTATGAATGTTGATAACTTGGCAGCCAAAATACTGATGATGTGATAATCATGTATTATACAAATATAATTTTTATCTCATAAACTTGCGTTTAATTTTATTTTGAATTCAAGTTAGAAACTTTCCAATTGAAAGAATGATATATATATATATATTATATTCGCCAGAAAAGGATGATATCTTTAGTCAGTATCTTGCAGAAGATAACAACTAATTACCTGATCACTCTATTACCAGTTCCGCAAATATCAATATCTGCAAATTTCCATCTAGGCAGTTGAGAAATGGGAAGCGTACACATAAGTTTAAAGGCAAACTGGAAAAGTCAACGTCAAGCAAAGACGTTAGAAACTTGAGGATCAAATGGCAGAGTTTGGCGAACCAACTTTGACTTATATATATATATATATATTCACAATTACTTTTGTTTTTTTAAGCCATGTCAAGCTTAAGAATACTCTTCCTCGAAGCTCCAAAACCGCAAAGTTCTCTGATATTTTGACAACTTACCAACTTGATACGGACTAGATTTTATCCTTGACTTTAATGATTAACCCATGTTTATACTCGTCTTAAAGCATTGTAGTAGAAAAAAGAGGATTGATTTATTTCTTTAGTATGTTTTACTCCCATTTGAAAGTGTAAAAAAATTTCCAAGCTCCGGGATTTTGCTCTATCAAGTGTCAACATAAAAATTTCACGTGTTGTTTGCTCACATTGGCATTGCCTGCACGCAACTGCAATTACTGTAGGCTCCTTCGCTCACACATGGATATGATACAACCACTTTTCAGGTTGAAAAGTCTTAGACAACCGTACTGATGGATGATTATCACAAGCTGGCGGCAGTTGGATGAGTTTACATGTTTCTTGGGAATGGTTGAAAAAAAATAAAGGGGCAGATGCTACAGACAATTACAAAG